AAGGTACCCTGATAAGATCTATGCTGAGACAGAATGGTTCTATATTGGGTGAGGAGTCGGTAGTTGGATAGACAAATGACATTGTACCGAATGATATCACCCTAAGTCCTGAAATCATTGAGTCTAAATATTTTCCACACCTCCAGAAGAGTCATGCTCATCTAGCAGAAAAAAGACTGTGGCACTCATATATAACCTTTAATACAGTTGCGAGCGCAGTAAAACCTCTACTAAAACAAGAAAAAAGACCATGATGACTGAAAACTTGAGTCCCAAAACTTTCCTGCCCACCTGACAAAACACAGACAAGAACATAGGCAGCCACTGGAAATATAGGAACTTCTGGAATTGTCGTTGTGAGTAGAAGTGTATGTGTTGAAGTTTGAAATGGTTATGTTAGGAATTGGGGACAACAGGATTTTTGCCAAATACGGCCCCATATATTAGTTGGGATCCAATGAAGTAATTTTATATATAACGAAGAGTCTCGTCTTGTCAGGTATTTTTTAAATGCATGTTTTTGTCTTGTAAGAAAGAAGGATCTAAGGTGAACTGAGGAGAGTGGCAGTGGGGTCTTAGATGGAGTCCACTAAGTAAAGTAGTGGGAGACGCACCGTCAGAACAATATAAAATATAAACCTGAACAAATCTTATTGAATGTTGTTTGTAGTTTGCAATTCTTTGTTGACACAGCACCCTAAAAGTGTCATATTCTGTTGCCTTCTGTGTATTTCCGAGTCGTATTTTCAAGCTCATTCAAAATGATAAGTTCTCAATTCAGTTTTTTCAATCATTGTCGTTATGAATTCTGTCAATTAGGTGTTTTTTGAAAGGCACCAGTCAGCTAATTTATCTGTGAGGGAAAAAAAATGTAAAGTATCACTAAAATCTGCCTGATTCAGAAATACCATGTGAGCTGAAATTTGTTTAAATGTTCACTCGAAATGATGAGAATAAAACTGATATAGCATCTATTGTATGAGTGAGATATATATGATCTATGTTATATGTGATGTACTTGTTGTATACGCCAGAAGTAAAAGTGTAGGCTACTGTTTCTCTTTTTAAATGTTTCATCCCTTCTATGTCGTCTCTATGGTGTGAGTTACTGATGTTATGGGGATGATTTTTTTTTAAAATTCTCTGTGGATGCTTGATGAGTGCTTTGGTGTGGATTTTGTTTCATTGATTGCCATACTCGTAGTGTGTTCGACTTCCCTGGCTTACTATAGTGCGGATAGTTCTATGTAAATCAGCCCCCGCCCTCATAAGGTTGTTTTATTATTTTTTTCTACCATGCTCTCTTCGAGTCTTCTGCTGACATCACAATATTATATCTACAGTCGAAATTTAAAAAAATGGTCACCCAATGTTGAGAAGAAAAGTGGATGTTTTGGACAGGGTCATTATTCATTATGATATAGAAAAAAATCAAGGGGGTTGGG